TTTATATAGTAATCTGAGTCACATTTTACTATGATCATTCTTCAGTTGACTGGAGGATCATCAATTAATTTATTTCAATCTACTTCTATAACAATGATCAAACCTGTTTAATTATACATGATTATGCATTAACGTTTAACTTTAAAAAAAAACAAAAAAAAATAAATAAAAAAATTGTTTGATTCAACACTATAGGCTGACTAAAATTTAAAGCTAATACTTCCAAATCAAAACAAAGAAATGTTCCAAAAAAATGGTTCAAAGTCAAATCAAAAAAACGTTCCAGGGCCAAAGCAAAAAAATGCTTCAGAGTTAAATCAAAGAGACATTTCAGTGCCAAAGCAAAAAAACGTTCAAAGAAATGTTTTAGAATCAAAGCAAAGAAATATCCAAGGAAATATTCTTGGATTAAAGCAAAGGAATGCCCCAATTTAAGTTCTAAAAATGATTTGAATCATAAAAATGATTTGAATCATGAAAATGAATCAAATTATGAAAATGTTTTTCAACTTAGAGGTCGCTCAGTTATCCACCGTTATAATACCAACAAAGAAAATATTCTATTAAATAAGACAACCAAAATTGTCAAACATAAGGTTAATGTTATTAAACAGTTAAGAACTTCATGCTCTATTAAGCAAAAAATGGAGATTGTTAGCTATGCGAAGAAGCACAGAAGAAACCAAGCTGCAAACTTAATAGCAGCATGATTGAACAATGAGTAAAAGCAAACACAAGCTGAATAGTTGAGGTGAATAGTAAAAGCAAAAAAATTGGTTTTGGTCGAAGGGCTCTTTATCCCGAAGCTGAAAAAAGCTTGTATACCTGGATTATTGAACAAAGGAAACAGGCATTAGCTGTGACCTATATAGCTATAAAAGCTCAAATAATAGAGATTTTGCAAAAGCCTAATATGATACTTCTTTATAGTGATGCAGCAAAGACTTTCAGGACGTCACATCATTAGATAGTCGCATTTTTAAAAAGAAATCAGTTAGCATTACGACGGCGTACTAGAATTTCACAAAAACTTCCTGAACAAACTCAGGATTTGCTCTTAGAAGTGAAAAATTTTATAAAATATGCAATATTTTTAACATAGATAAAACTCCAGTTTGGTTTAACATGGCTAGTAATTTTACTGTCAATCCAAAGGGTGAAAGAATGGTTCATATTCGTGCTATGGGAAATGAAAAGAATAGGTTTATAGTTGTCTTATCATGTGCAGCAGAGATGTTTTTTATTTATTTTTAAAAAAGTAAAAATTTTTTTTAATATACTAGTATTCATATATTCACATATTGTTGTTCATTATTTAATTATTGTAGATAGGAGTAAGCTCCCTCCTATTTGCATATTCAAGGGTAAACGATTAAATCGTAGTGAACAAATTCCTCCTAGCATTGTCGTTTGGTTTCAGGAAAATGGTTGGATGAATAGTGCATTAATGCTAAAATATGTTGATTATTTCAATGATATACGATCAAAAAATAGAACTAGAAGAAATTTAGCAATAATGGTATATAATTCTTTTAGAGGTCACTTGGAAAATTCAGTCAAAAATAAATTCTGTGAGCATGGTATTGATCTGGCAGTAATTCCAAAAGGTCTAACTAGTATTTGCCAACCTCTTGATATTTCAATTAACAAACCATTCAAGGATAATTTGTACAAGGAATGGCATCTTTGGATAGCAAAAGGTGGTGCCAGAAAAACTACTAAGAGAAATCTTTGTCGGGCTAGATTAAGTGATGTATACATATAGGTCAAACATGTTTGGAAGGCAATTCTAGATGAATCTTTCAGAACTTGCAAAATTTCGAATGATTTAAATGAATTGGGCTCTGATCTAGAAGTTATTGATCTTTGCAGTGAAGGCAGCAATGATAATATTGAAGAAGATGAATGTAAGAGATTCATTTTATTATTAAAAGTCTGCTAATATTGCTGCAGTAAGTAATCTTTAAATACTTCTATTAAAATGAAATAGGATTCAATAATTATAGCGATAATAACTATGATAATAATGGTGATTATTATGAAGATAATGGTAATGATTTTGACAGTAACTATTATGATGATATTAATGCTGATAATGATAATAATGCCAATAGTAACTGTGAAGATTATGATACTGACAATGATGATAGTCTGAGCTGTAACAATTAAGATAATATGGTAAAGATAATATAGTAATCATTTAAAATACTAAAAAAATACATTGTAGTTATATTAAATAACATTAAATTGCTAACAGTTCAAATTTCTATAACTTAGCAAAATCATGTGGATAACTATTTAAAAATCAGAAAAAATTATTTCATCAAATAAAAAATTTATGGGAAATTATAAATCAAATACTAGATATGTATATAGCAAATTATAGCTTAAAAAAAAAAAAAAAAAATGAATATAATGCTTAAATCTTTTAAAATTTTTCATAATTTTATACTTTGCTTTTATCTTAATATACTAAAAGGTTACAGTAATAAATAAAATTGTCATTCCACGATTATATTTTGCTGACAATATTGAGAACCCAAAAAAAAAAGCGTAGTAGTATATCTGGAGTTAACTCAAGTGTATACTTTTTCGTAATTATAAAAAGTTGGGGGTGCTTATTTTCGGATACTACATGATTTTGGGGGTGCTTATTTTCGGAGGAATACGGTATTATTTATTTTATCTGTGTTATTTTCTTTTTTAAAAAATATAAGTTATATTATATAGTTTTATTCTATTTCTTTATTATTTACAGTATCTTAATGTATACTTATGTATATAATATTAAAATCGCTAACTGTCTGAATCCGAAGTTCCTAATATTCCAGCTCCCAATTTCTAAATAAGATATATAATAAAAATACTTATATATTTAGTCTCATTTGAATTCACTTCGGATTCGAATGGCTTATTCGGATTCACATTCTAGGTTAAAAATAAAAAGCAATTTTATTGGTCCATTGATAATCAGGTGCAGAGGTTGGAACCACTCGAGTTTATCACATTAATTTAAAATTTTGATTTGGTAAATTTATGACAAATTCGAAACATCACAAAATTTATGTGACAAAATCGAATTATTGAAACCGGTTCCAGCCTCTAATTTTCACCCAAGAAAGGCTGCGCCACGTCTAGATTTATAAATACTCTGTTCAATAAACAAATGATTTTCCGGGGTTCCGCTCTAATCCTGAATTTTTTAGGTCACTTATCATAGATAACGTGGAAGACTTCGATTACACGATCTGAATTTTTCCCAGTTAAGACAGGCATTCACACTAAACCCACACACCTCATCCTATGAATAGGGTTTTTGTGGCTCTGATGGTTAACCCCAGCAACTATAGTTGCGTAAAAAGAAGTAAAATACATATACAGTAGCTCTATATATAGTATACTTAAAAACCTCCTTACATTGGCGAGAATTTTACTACCAGTTTTACATTGAGTTTGCCAACTGTAGTTTATATTGCAAAATCCGTTGTTAATTATAAAGCTTCCTAAATTTATTTACAATTTTCCGTTAGGACCTTTTTTTACTAGCACTATATTTTATCTCATCTGAAATTTCACCTAACAGAAACTCTACACCAGAATACACTTCATGCACATTTATTAAATATACATATTCTAAAAAGAATTCTTTTTGATATTTGTACATGTTTAATATGTACTGCGCGCATATTTTATTATATACGTACCTGGTATTCAAATTTGATACCGATAAGCTGAATTCATATTGAGAATATTAAGGTATTATATAAAAGAACCCTTATTTCAGAACTAACTTACGTATGTACAGTACTTACGTATGTACAGTACGTACGTACAGTACGTACGTACGTACGTACAAATAAAATTAAAAGCTCCGATGTTTTTTTTGAGTGTTACGTAGACGTCGAAAAAATTGCTTAATTCTTACACATAAAGAGTATATGCAGTACCCTATTACAACAATTAAAAATGACCATGATGTTACAATGAATACCCTAAGTCGGAGTCTTAATTGCGCCGTTAAAATTGATAAATTGTATAACAACTTTATAAAAGGTTCTTTATCTTTTCTTTCCGATTAAATATTAATTACATAAAACGTATACGTATAATCAGAAAATAAAGCTTTATTTATTAGCACACAACTTTATATATAAATTAAAAAACTTTAAATATATCGTGAATGATTATTAAATTATTGGAATAGGAACGAAGTGAAAATTAATTATATTTTAATTGACCTCATTTTAAACACAAATACATGAATTATATATCGAAAAAATTTAATCCTGCTCGAAGAAAGGCTGCTCAAGCATTGAAGGCAGGTCAATACGCAGAGGCAATTAAATATTATAATGGACTTATTGAAAACAGCCCTGATAGTTCTATGAGATGTGATCGTGGAGAAGCATATTTATTTTTAAATGAATATGAAAAGGCAAAAGAAGATTTTGATATTTACATTAATAAAAAACCAGATGATGAACGTGGATATTATCTTAGAGGAATTGCTAATGATAAATTAAATCTTCGAGGGGATGCATTAAGTGATTTAAGTAGAGCACTCAGAATTAAAGATGATAATCCTTTGGCTCTTGAAGCTTTAAAAATTTGTGCAAGGCATAATTATGAACTTGGAAATCGTGATAAAGCATTTAAAGAACTTAATTCAATTTTACAATTATCAGCAAATGATACATGGGCTTTGGAAATTCGAGGAAAAATGTACTATGATAATAAACAATATCAAGAAGCGTTAAAAGATTTTAATTCGTTTTTAGTCATTCAACCAACTAATGTTAATATCTTAGAATTAAGAGGAACTATATACAGAAAGTTAAACAATTCTAAAGATGCCTTAACTGATTATACTCAAGCATTGAGATTAAACTCACATGATCCAAATATTTTAATAAAACGTTCAAAGACTTATCTTATTCAAAAAAGATACAGTAATGCATTAGGAGATATCGAAAAATTTGTACATTATGGAGGAGAGCTTAATGCATCCGCGTTAAAAAATCGAGGTTTAATATATGCTGGTTTATCACGTCATAATGAAGCTATTGCGGATTTTACTGCGTCATTAGAAAAGAAAGAAAAAGGATCAACGTATAGACAACGTGCTCAGGTTTATCAAATATTAAAACATTATAAAGAAGCGCTAGCAGATTTAAATCAAGCATTAGTACTTAATGATTCTGACAAAGAATCCATAATTATGCGCAATCAAGTTTATACGCAACTAAATAGGTGAGAAAAATTCATCATTAAATCATGTTTAGAAAATAAATTTCACTAACTATTTAAATACTTGCCGATTATTAATAGATATGATGATGCTATAAAAGGTTTGACAAAGACATTGAATGTCAATCCAAATGATATAAATGCACTATCCGATCGAGGAAAAAATTATATGGCTTTGAATAAACGAAACGAAGCAATGTCAGATCTAAACAAGGTCTTGTCGATAAATCCAAATCATGTCCAAGCACTCTTAACACGCGCTAAGCTTTGCCGAATGCAGGAAATGTACCATGAGGCATTGAATGATTTAAGTCTTGCAATTACAATTGAACCAACGAATCCAAAACTTTTAAAAAGTAGAGGAAAAATTTATACAATGATAAATGAGTATGAAAGAGCAATCCAAGATTTAAACATAGCCATCGGTAAAGAAAAACGACCATCATCATTTGAATATCGAGGAAAGTCATTTCTAATGTTAGGAAGATATAATGAAGCAATCAGTGATTTCACCGAAGCATTAAACCTAAATCCAAAAAAATCAAGTGTTTATGGCGATCGTAGTGAAGCATATTTTCATATTGGAAAATATAAACGCGCACTTGCAGATATAAACAAATCTTTAGAATTCAATGAAAATGAGAAATCGTTTGAATTACGATCATTAATTCACGAAAAGCTCAATGAAACAAAGACAGCCAAAACGGATTTGGATAAAGCTTTAAGTTTATCGCCACAAAGTACATCACTACTTTTACAAAGAGCAACTTTATTAGAGAAATTGCAAAAATATCAAGAATCTTTAGCAGATTGGGATGAATTATTACAAATTGATCCAAATAATATTGCCGCATTGCAGAGTCGTGGAAAGATGCTCATAAAACTATGTAGATACGAAGAAGCAGATTCAACCTTCAATAAAATTCTAGAAATGGATCCAAATAATTTTGATGCTATTTGTTATCAAGCAGAAATTCATAAAGAGCAAAAGAATTATGAAAAAGCTATTGAGGTGTTAACAAACGGGTTAGAAAATGCATCAGGTGAAAAGAATATGGTTCATTTGTATGTGGTTAGAGGGGATATTAATAGATTGCGAAAAGAATATGTAGAATCTTTAAAAGACCTGGACGAAGCAGTAAATTTAAATAGTAATAATATGGAAATTGATAATGATGAATCAATTGATAATAAAAAATATAATGCGCTTGCATTATGCTTCAGAGGATCAATACATAGAAATAATAAAGATTACGATAATGCTTTGAAGGATTTAGATGTTTCATTACAGGATGATCCTAAGAACATTTTTGCATTGTGTGAACGTGGTGCAGTTTATAGAGATAAAGGAAATTTTAAAGATGCTTGGAATGATATCGAAAATGCTTTGAAATTATCAGAGGAAAATGAAGATTATTTAGAGTAAATATAAGGTTTTTCGTTGTTTAAGGTTTATATTAGTGTAATACATTATTTTATTTATAAGCATTCTATTTCAGATATTAAATATCTACATATCGCGTATAATTATACATATTACGTAATACGTTGGTAAGATATAAATAATAAATCCCAATAATGCTAAAAAAATGACACAGCTCGTTTTTTTATATTGCAAATGCCAGTATTTGAAGCTTATTCAGTACTTTTAATTTTGAATAAAAAATCTTGATCAAGTATAATTTACAAATTTTAATTTATTCTTTCCGTCTTTAAATTACCAATAACTAGTACAAATAAACAGAAACTTTTGTTTGCTAGATATAATTGTATAATCGACTTTCGATAATCAATTTAATCACTAGAAACATACAAATTTTGTTTCGGTAGAAAATAGTTGAGATTTGCATTCCTCAATTCTGTAATTGTCTCGCGTGCAAAAAAAATTTACATATATATTAAAATAAAGTAGATTTCAAAGTTTGTAATATAACTTAAATTTTTAATGAATCTAACTATACCAAAAAAAAAACGCAAAAATTAGAAGTAAACACGTGTCACCATAATTAATCATGCGTCTGGAATTTCCGTAGCTATAAACGTTGAAGTTGAAATACTTCATATTCATCAACTGAAAATTTATCAATCGTATTTCAAACGTTGAAGTTGAAATACTTCATATTCATCAACTGAAAATTTATCAATCGTATTTCTGATAGGTTTCTCATAAAACTTACGACGAGAAAAACATCTTATCTCATTTTGAAAATCTCCTAGCATAGCAAGGTCTTCAGAACCAAAATGTGGACCATAAGAATCCTTATTATTATGCCAAATTGCACGGTCTGGCATTGTTACTCGGCTTAAAATGGATTTACCACCATCCTTTAATGAAAAAATAAAACTATCATGCGTAGAAAGCCACTTTCTATCCATTTCAGTTGGAATTTTTAGAGGATTGAATCCGCCAAGAATTTCACCTGTTCCATTAACTTTTAAAACTATCAATGTAAACTTTCTTCCTTTACACGTATTATGAAACGTCTTTCCATTAAATCCATCACGACTACCTCTAGTAAGTAACCCAAATCGATATGGAATTACTTCATCGAATTTGTATTCTTTATGGTCAATCCATGAGATAATTTCAATTGCATGCTTTGTAGAAATAATAGTTGAATTCAATTCAAATTGTTGAGAATTTTGTATTGGTGAAGTAAATTTCATAGTAATTGATTTAGTAGAAACGATCTTATATTTTAACTCAGCGTTAACTTGCTGCTGATTCTGTGGCTTGACTATTAATTTATTTTGGCGAGGTGGTAAAACTATTGAAGTAATATTTTTGTTTGGAGCCATGAATTTTGTCATAATATCCGTCCACAAATTTGGATCAAGGATTTTCTGATATGGACGTAGTTTATCTAATACCTCCTCACCAGTAAATTGAAAAAATCTGATAAGAGGTAAACAATTTTTGAGAGTAGTTTTTAAAATTAAATAATCCAGATCAGACCATTGATTCTGATTAGGTGGGAGGGAAGGATTTTGCGCAACACCCCATTTAATAACGTGGTTCCAAATTTCAGCTTCGCTCAATTTTAAATCATCCCGTTCTAAGATAGAAACAAAAGCACTTTCGGGAAGAGTTGTAAAATCATCTGAATCGAATAATAAATCAGGATGCTCTGCAGCGACATCTACACAATATTTTTGTAATGTCTCAAAATTGTCATTCTCAATTGTGGCTCGATAAATTTTTGAAAAATTTGATTGAATCCAAAATTCATGATTCTGAATCAGATAATTTTCAGTATATTTTGTAAATTCACCAAGTTGAAATTCATTAGCAATCACTAATGATTCAAAGATTATGTTGGAATCTATATTTTCAAAAGAAATTATTCCACCATAGATGTACCTATATTATGAATAATTTAATGAAATATGCATTTTGTTGACCACACTATAAATTCAAGATCATAAAGAATAACTTACGTGATGATGATTTGAAAAACGTCGATAGAAATATCGGGCTTGCTGATTTCTTTAATATTTTTTTCATTATAATCCAGTTTATCTAGTTCATTAAACAAATACGGACACCGAACGAATAAAATTCCGGAATGTAATTCGAAAGGTTTACTTTCTGTATTTTTTCCAACATGAATAATTACGTCTCGACCTTTTCCTTTTTTTAAAAGTATCAACAAGTCAAAGGACAAATTATTAAAGAATTTTGTTGTCATTTTTGATCTATTTTTAACATAAAAAATATTGACAGATTTAAATAATCGTTTTGCGAAATTCTATTTTGACCCGGGTTATTTTAACCTGTCATATGATTTTGTGGCTGGTGGTACTTAAAAAAAATTTTTTTGCGATAAACACATTTGATTTTATCTCCGCTATGTAACACCAATTCATACTATTTATATATAGTAATATAGAAATAAGCTTATACG